TATATATACAACGCAAAAAAAGCTAAACAAATAGTATTCTCTTACTCCGTAGTAAGACACACTAACACCGCTTGTAGAAAAAGAACAGAGAAATGATCTGTTGGTTTTCATGCGCACCTTCAGACCCCATCGCACCACGCGCTGCTGTCACTTTACCACGACTTTCAACTCGGTGACAGCCTGAGGAGKTCAGCCCCTCTGTTACATCTTATCTACCACAACCGACAGGAAATATGTCAAAGTCTATCAGAAGCGACTTCAACTACGAGCACAAATGAAGCCGCCTCGTCGAGAGGGGTTAGTTTCGCCTTTTAAAGGGCTCAGAACAACCGCTTTTTTAACATACGTGACGCCCTTCCTTTTACTTCCTAATTCCATTATTCGTCAATATTACAGAGCATTTTCCGTGGCTTTAATCCTACCTCGTAAAGGTCTCCTGAAGCCATTCTGGGGTGCGGACAACGGCGGCGCGGCTTTCTTGCCTGCCCTGTTGAGGGTTTTCTCTTTTCTTTTCTTTTTTTTTCTCTCTCCTCGGTGTCTCGCCGAAAAGCCCCGATAGACGGGAATTAGCGAGCAGCCTTGTTATTCTGAGCAATCCGCAGCAGCAGATCAGCAGACAGCGTCAATCGAGCCGGCGCTGCGCGATGGATCGTTCCACACTTAAAACAAACAAGCATCGGGGCGGTGCTGTTTACACACACAACTCAAGAGGTGGACAGGAAATTAGTCCCTGGCTTAAAGAATGCACAGCCCGACGGTCTGCCTGCACCCAGCTCCTCTGAAGTTTGCTGCAAGCCAACTAATGAGGCTGATACGTTTGATGCTCTGAATTTAGTCAGTGAGTCACCCTACCTGTCCACTTTACTGCCACAGACCTGACTTCACCTTAATTAGATTCATTAAGACCAGTTGGAAGCTACACCACATAGATGTTAGTTTTATGCATGACAATGACATAGCTTAACAAATTTCAACTATAATTCCTGAATTATGAATAAAATCAGAGAACAATAAAATAAGTTATAATGTAGTTACAATAATAAGTTACAATAATRTACAATATAGTTTGGCTATCATTATATTTGATTGTGCAATCATTGTTTGCACCCTTTATGATGATTTTATTTAACTAAAAAAGGCAAATAACTAAAGCAAATTTAATTACAGCTAAAGTTGACCAAAGTGCTCTACATAATACAAAATAATTGTTAAAATATTAATCTATAATACATATGCAACAGCAAAATATTAGATTTATATATATATATATTAAGAGCCTGTTATATTTATAAAATAATCCTCCCACAAACATATTAAAGAACTAGTTTAGATAGTTTTATGTGCTGTTCTGTGTAGTTGTCATTAGTAACCATTATCTTACCTGCAGCAGAAACAGCTCAAAGACTTAAGTTCAGAAAATCTKTTCTTTCGGGAGAGAAACCTGAGTTTCARCACAACCAATTTTAAAGGCAATTTCTGACATCCTAAAACAAGGGTGGGCAACTTAAATGATGGAAGGAGACATATTTTTTGTTGACACTACCAGAGGGTCACATAGTGCTGCACACTTACTTGACAGTAATAAAAGTGCCATTCTAAAAATGTTTATGTACATATTAAACCAATATACAGTGCAGTTGCTTAACATTTTCATTCTGTAATAACTGTAAACACTTGCTTAATAAATAGTAATACAAAATGTTTGAGGCAAACAAATATAAACACTTCATTGCTGAAGTGTACAGGCACATTGGGTRCAGACTCTTGTRTGGTTGTGGTTCTGGTAACAAGTTGCTACTTGCAACTTCAGTAAACTGATATTTAGCTTTGTGCAACATKTAATGGCAACTTATATTCAAATYCTTTATGGCAGACAGTGCCTGTGCCTTGAAATTCTGTGAACAAATAGGCTAACTCCCAAAAGCACTTAAAGCAGCTATTGGACTCTTAAGAGCTCATTTGAGTGTTTTTTAGTAATAAAATAATGGTGGGCTGGGTGGAGGTCAGTTGCCCATCCCTGCCCTATWATATTTCTTATCTTAAAAATAATTTAAACTTTTTATGCAAAAGCGGTTGTTTTTTACCAGGCTATTTTGTGACACAAGTTTGAACCTTGACAGTAGCTGACCCACTCAATGGAAGCAGCCATCTAATACAAAAGTGATAAAGATGYTAAAGTTTGTAAAATATTATTTACACAATCCTCAGAAACTTAGGACACTAAACTTATTTAAAGATGGCAGACGTGATTTAGAATTAGCCTGGTTGAGCCAGCTGTTATCTCACCTTCCCAGAGAGAACATTTGTATGATATTTTTAAACTGATAAGGGATAAGATATCGACTATTGATAACAACTCCACAGAACACTACCTCAAAATTATACAAAATATTTATTTAAATGTTATAATGTAGGAAGTCATAAAAATAGCACCCTTACTCAAGCATTTCATTCAATGAAAGAAGCTTTTTTCTCCTTTGTTCCCCAAACAACTTGAGTATGCTTAGTATACTTAGTACATAATTGAAACAAGTCACAGAAAACACTTCACATGCTGGAACATTACTTCATGGACACTTTATCTTTTCTAATAAAGACAAGTGAGTCCTCATAGGCTTGTCTGAGAGATGTGTGTGTGTGTGTGTGTGTGTGTGTGTGTGTTAAGCACATATCACTGTCTGTCACTGCATACATATGACAGCAACATTTAAAATTGGAGTAAAAGACAGAGAAAGCAAGACAAAATGGTGCTTTACTGCTTGTTACGAAAGCAAAACAGATGTCCTTCAAGATATGTTTAAAAGATAGTGTTATGATAAATGTCTGCCAGCTACAACTCCAGYATTGATAACGTGAYACTAGGATGCTCACCTACAATGCAAGGACAAATGTAAMCTCAGCACAGCCTTTCTGTTTATAATAATGAACAATGGATGCAAGGAAATGTTTAAAAAAGGATTACTGCTTAAACTGAAGTATTTGGGGGTAAATGTAGAGCAAGTGTGCCTGAGGAGCAGGAAAGAAGCAGAAGCTTGAGGCAAGCTGAGCCAACTAAACAGCAGGGAATGAGAGAGCCAGCAGGTGTGAAGGTGGGAAGTTGAGCTTGGAATGGCAACAAGGAGTAGGCAAAAATTTTTCTTAAAAGTCAGGAGCCGCCAGGGAGCAAGATGGGGGCTGAAGTGGTAGAAACTAAAGACACAAGACTACAAATGGTCAACACGGTCAGAAATCACAAGAAACTAACCAAACAGGAGAGTTGCCTTGAGGGCTTTTAGCTGTAGGTAACAAAACAACATGGTGAGGACTGAAAGCTGGGGTTCAGATGCAGATTGCATACATAATTGGTCATTTTGTAGAATGTTCTTTATACAAGTAAATGTCTTATTGATAAATAACATTAGCTCCATGTGAGGGGAATGTATAAGGCTTTTGAAAAATAGGCCACAGCATTAACATATGGAAGAGGCTCCATTATGTTATTGCGTTGCTTTTCTGGTCTTACAGGATGCTTTGAATTTGTCTCAGGYACAGTGAAATTGCATTAAAAGGATATTTCTGGAAAGAGATGAAAAGCCCAATGTCACACAACACTCCTAATACAGTAGTAGTTGTGGGGCATCCAACAGAATATTTACCCCAAAACACATACAAAATAATTCAAGAAAATAACTTTTAACTCTAAAGAGGCATGTTTTTTAATCTAATTACAATATATATGTATAGAGATAGATAGATATGGGGTAGCTGATGCATGCTGAAGAGGAGCCTGAAAGTGGAGAGTAGTAGTAAATGAAAGCTGAGCAAGCTGCTGATGAGTAAACTGAGCATGGAAACAGACATCAGGGTGAACGTAGCAGGATGGGTGAGTCAAGCTGACAGCAGGAGAAGCTTGATTCCGGGAAGATAAACAGGGCATGGGGATGAGAGCAGCAGTTAGACTGAACCACAAGAAGAAACTAAATTAATCAGGCAAAAAGACAAGGACACAGCAAAAATATTTTTCCTTGCTTTGGGAATTTTCAGATGGGCGAAACAATCCAGAAGTCATWGATAAAAAGAAGCCTGGAATGCTGGGCCGGCCTGTGGCATAGGCAGAAAAGGCAAATGCTAAGGGCCCCATCCAGCTAGGGGGCACCACAAATGGGGGAAGAAAAAGGTTTTATAGGGGCAGCTGTTGCAGAGTGTTTAGGAAAGTGTTCTTCTATTTGTCTCAGTTGTTGTGTCCTTGGGCAAGACACTTCACACACTTTGCCTGTTAGCGGTGTCAGAGGCGCATGGCAGCCGTGCCTCTGTCAGTGTGCCCCAGGGCAACTGTGGCTACAATGTAGCTTATCACCATCAGTGTATGAATGGGTGCAGAAGCAGCTCATGAGCATAAATACTAGTGTGGCAGACATTTATTTCCTGAATCAATATCAGCACAAATGTTACAATTTGTGGCATAGAAGTAGTAGTAGTAGTAGTAGTAGTAGTAGTTCTTTATTCATTTCATTTGTAACACAGATTAACAAAGTACAAAAAAACATGCAATCAAAATAAAATCAAATAAAATGAAAGTCTGCAGAAAACATTACAAATAAGATTGACATTAGTTAATCATTTATTTATCATCTTTTTTTCTCTCCCTCCCCTCAGGTTGTGTCTCGTAATAAGAGTCCGGTCTATTAATAAAATCAGAGAAACACCACCTGCACCAACCTGAACACATTTTTTTGTGTGGGTAAAATTAATCAGATGGGTACACAACACAGCTTTCTAAATTGGATTTCTAATTTAATTTTGAGTAACAATTGTGCAATAATAGTTCTGATTAAGAAGTTAAATGGGGGAAAGATGTCCTGTGAACTTATTCTAAACATAAAAATAAATAAATAAATGGTGTGGTTGTCTGCCAGCTACAACTCCAGCAACAACGTTTGAGGCTTAAGTCTTAAATTCACAGACAGATGATTTAATGACCACAGCTCTATAATAGCACAGAACCAGTAATTCACATACAATCTCCACAGATTAAGTTAAAAAAGCTCCTACCTTCTTGGCAGAGTTCTGTTTTTTTTCTCTTCAGTTTCCTGTATTCTGTTAGGCTCTACTCTATCTGCTCCAAATACATTTTTAACTAGAATATCTCCTCTCTTGGACAAAACTTTGACTGAACACTATTCCTGCATTTGATGAACTCATGTTAGGTCTACTATTCATATCAATATACTAAAATCAGCAGAAAGTGTCCAGATGGGTATGTTTTCTAACACCCCGATGGCAGTCGGTGCACTGAAAAAACAATTTTTTGGTGTAGAAACATTTACTTAATTATTCTTTTAAATTTTACAAAAAAATTTCAAAATCTCTAAACTACTAGAATTTACTAAATAAACAATACGCATTATATTATATATCAATATTACTGTACAAAAAAAGTAAATGCTAATATTATTTTACCAGTAATATTTAAGTGCTTTTTATGGGCAGCACATAAACATGAATATATTAAGTAACTTCTACTCTTCTGGGCTAAAACTGAGGGCGCATGCGCACAGGGCTGCTGCTCCTCATTCCCTTGTTTCACTTTTCAAGGAGAGGACAAGACATGGTCAAAATAAAACACAAGTTGTCTGGTTTCATTTGCTTGAATACATTTGTTGGTGTGCAATAGTTTGATGGCTTACTGTAGGTGATATTTAGTTGTC